GGAGAGGAAGAGAGGCAGAAAGAGAGGGAAAGATAAATAGACACAAATACGGGGAAGGAGAGAATGAAAGAGAGAGAGAGAGAGAGAGATAAATAGACAAAGGGGTGGAGGTGGAAGAGAGGCAGAAAGAGAGGGAAAGAGATAAATAGACACAAAGATGGGGAGAGACAGAAAGAAAGAGAGACAGAAAGAGAGATAAACACAAAGAGAAGGGAGAGAGAGAGAGGCCTTGAGGCCGGATTCAGATTGTCCCTTTCCTGGGTTTCCAGAGGCAAGAGCAAACCTCGGAGGACAACACCGGCCCTCACCTCTCCCTGGCCTACGAGGACAAGCAGATTCTGGAGGACGCCGCCTCTTTGATCATCCACCACGTGAAGCGTCAGGCGGGCATCCAGAAGGAGGACAAGTACAAGATCAAGCAGATCATGTACCACTTCATCCCGGACCTTCTCTTCGCTCAGCGAGGGGAGCTCTCGGACCTGGAGGAGGAAGAAGAGGAAGAGATGGACGTGGATGAGAACTCCGGGGCGGTGAAGAAGCACAACGGGGTGGGGGGCAGCTCCCCCAAAGCCAAGCTGCTCTTCAGCAGCACGGTGGCTCAGAAGCTGCGCAGCCTGGACGAGGCCTACAACCTCTTCCACGTCAACAACAACTGGTACATCTTCCTGCGCCTCCACCAGATCCTCTGCCTGCGGCTGCTGCGGATATACAGCCAGGCCGAGCGGCAGATCGAGGAGGACAGCCGGGAACGAGAGTGGGAGCGGGAAGTGCTGGGGGTGAAGCGAGAGAAGAGCGACAGTCCAGCCATCCAGCTGCGCTTGAAAGACCCCAGTGAGTGTGTTCTGACCCAGCTCCCAAAACACAAGAATCCCTCTGTAGTTGAAGCAATGTAGTTGCTTTAATTGGGGGCGCCGGCAGCCCCGGCAAAAAATTTCTCAATGCCGGCTAGCAAGTCTGTCCGGCAGGGAGATGAATAGTTGTCTGCCACACTTATTCATCTCTGCCCCCTCCCTTTTATCCTCAGAGCTAGGGCGGGGCTTTGCTAGCACTGGCTCTTCCGTCCCAAGGACCCGCCCATAGATTTCCACTGCTCTCCTCTCCTCTGCC